CACTCTGTCATCCAAGAATAATCTAGAAAATTTCAACAAAAGGCTGGAAATAGCCATCTCTGTGCAGAATAATTAAACCCTTCTTGCTGATTGTTTTCTTCTCTTGTACCTTCAGTATTTCATGATCCTCTGATAGGTATTTATCCTGTACAGTCTCTGCTTTTTTTTTCTAGAGTTTTCTCCCCACTGCTTGGCTCCCTCTAAGCCTGGTAGTTTTTTCTCTTGAAATTGCTGCTGTGCCACTTAGCACTAATTTTCCTATCTGAACCACACACCAGCCCCTCACTTCCTTATTTTTGGAGCCTGCTGATACCTCAGCCTCTTAGTATTTCTTTATTTCAAATACAAATTTATGTGAATTGTGAACATTCATTTTAGTGTGAGTATTAACAGCACTCTGCAAAAAAAGAAAATAAAGTAATTACCACGTGATTGCTGTGGTGACAGCAAAATGGGTCACTACAGTTTTAGGGCTGATTTTGTGTCTTGACTCTTGAATGTCTCATATAAAATAAAATTAGGTATACAAAATAAAATAAATAAAATAAAGCCAGGTATATAAAATCAGGGTCAGTGCAAGAAGACTTCAGACAAAAATTAACTGAAACCTCCTTTTGGTGGCTGATCTCAAAATGGCCTTGGCTTGATCTCAAAGTGAATTGTCAGTGTGTCTAGAAGAAAAGTGGGCATTCCCTGCTGCATGTCTTGATATGAGTGTATTATAAAGTCCCATGCCATTCGCCAGGTGCTTTTGGAACCATGCAGCTTGTTGTCACTGGATATTGTTAGGTATCTTAGGACACTGGCAAAATTATTTCTTCCATAAGAGAGCAGGAAAAAAAATAATGAGGCTTACTTGTAAGAGATGGTAATGTTTACTCTATAAATGTTCCTACAGGAAAAATTCATTGAAATATCTTTCTGTTTGTTTCATAATATGTTATCTTTTGCTAAGCAGGAACATAGTAAGAGTGGTTTGCCTAGAGAAGGGGGGAGAAGTTAAGCAGTTCTTTGTTCAAGAACTAAATTTTGTCTTTTATTTTTGCAACAGAAATTTTAACTTTTTGTCTAAAAGCTACTCATCTCCAAAACAAAACTTTTCAATTCAGGTTTTATAACAAGAGGTTTATAACTGAATCAGAAACTGAAAGTATATAAACCCTTGATTGCGATAGCTGTTTTCATGAAAAGGCTGTCTAGAATGTGAGATCCAAACTGGTGCAGTATAATACCTCCAGTGTGTACTATAATTAAATGTGCTAAAACCAACATAAAGCACTTAAATTCCTCTTTCAATGTGAACATACTGGAAGTATTGTTATTAGGGGTGGCCTAAAATTCACTGTTAAATATGCTTACCTAGTAAACATAACAATTTCATCTTGGTAGACTTGTCATATTATATTAAAATAATTCTAATAGCTTTCCCAGAAAACCATTTACAAAAGCTCACTGCCCTTTCAAAGCAAAATTTCAAATAGCTCCTCTACACAAACCGTTCATTTTCTTGACATTTCAGTGATGTTTGACATGATTGTTAGCTTTTGATTTGGACCCATGACAATGAACAGCTCAACTTTCCTCTAAATAACTGCTTCACAAGAGATTACATTTTGGATAAAACTATTACTTTAAGTAGGCTAGTCTTCTGAAATATTAATAAGAATTACAGACTTACCTGATTAGTAAAAAGAGTCTTGAAGCCAAGTTGGATCCAAGCACTGTGTGTGTGCAATGATGTGTATATATGAAATTGAATTCGGAGTTGGACTTTGAATGGGATTTTCAAAAGATCTTAGCTGAGTTAAAAGGACTATTGTCACTGGGCCTTTTGGTTTTAACTCTTTAACTCTTACTGGTGCTTTAAAAAAATCCTTCTGTCATTGCTATAGGCCATATGGAATACTTGTATTTGAATAACAGCAAAAAATCCAAATGTGATCAAAATCCAAATTTTCAGCATAGATGCACTTCCTTTTCTTTTGCACAAAGTAAAGAGAAGATATGCTAATAGCTATATTTTATATTGCTAGCACAGAAGCTGATTTTTTGCTTATTGCTGTAAACATGCATATGATTTAGTTGACTTCCTAAGTGAACATTTGAGTTGTGCTGAAAATGAAAGAAATAGCAAAATGATTTTAAAGATGACAATTATGCATTTCTGTCTTCCAGGTGAATTTAGTTCTAGACAGATGACTCGGGAAACTGAAATGTTCTGTTTCAATCCACAGCTCTCCTCTAGCTCCTATTGACTTCTGTGTTTCTGGGAGACCTGATTTCCTTTGCATAAGAATATATCCCAGCTTTACCTCTTGTTTCTTCTGCTGATAATTAGAATAATAATGCTTATTATTTCTTACTTGAAGAATGCTATGCCATATAGGCATATGCTAGAAGTTAGTTTTCAGTAATCTCCGTATTTCCCACAGGGTACTCAGTAGCTGGTGATGAATTCCAAAAGTAACTGAGCTAAGCCTGATACAAACTGGTGGCCATGCTGTGTAAGCTGCTGTATCTTGTTAGTAGCCACATGCATCAACATCAATACTTGTGGTGGAAGTACAAAACTGCTAAAAATCTCCTCATTAAGGAAATATTCTTGGGGTGAACAGGGACAGAAACGTGATTATAATTTACAGATGTATTTTACAGGAGGAGACTGTAAGTAAAAACGTGTAAGGCAATATGAGGCTGATTGGATGTCTTTGTATCTCTAGCAGCACTGCTTGTCTTTGGTAGGGTATCTTTATTCCAAGTAGGTACTAGTATCTTAAACTTCTACCTAAAATAGTCTATGTAACTTCAGATAAAACTTCTACTGGAGGGGAAGGAAGGAGGAATGAAAGGGAAGGGGAAGAGGAAAGGGAAGGAGAGGGAGAAGATTTCATATTAACAGGATAGCATAGAAAATAGATTTCCCCTATAATATACTGTCAGTCTGTACATGTAAGTGAAATGAAAAAATAGCAACCAAACCAAAGAAAACAACCAAACAGGCAGAGAGGAAAGGGACAAGTTTAATGATAGAAGAAAAATACAGGTATTGACAGTGGAAAACAGATAAAAGGGAGATCTTGAAAGGATTAAAATATTGCTACTTTCTATTTCCAGGTAAACACAAAGTAATTCTTCCTTGAGTTTTCTAAACTATTTTTTATTTTTCAAAATTTCCTATCATTCTCCTGAATTTTAAGAGGGAGATCGATCACTTGGTCATTTTCTTCTAATGCAGTCAGTATCCCAATCCAAAATTTAAAGGGGAGAGTAGGATTCTGGAGGTTCAAAATTCAAAGGAATGATTTTTATTGGCTTGATTAGACTTTGATTCCAGTCGGCTTTTTGCATGTACAACCAAATGCATTCTTCTCAATTTTGATTGCAGTTTGAGTTACCATCATGGAACAAAACTAAGGAGATTTTGTTCATACTGGGGAATGTTTTCTTCATCAAGATAGTTCTACATAAAACTCCTATGATATAAAAATCCATAATCTGGTCTGTAACTAGCTGAATGGTAGTTCAAACAAATATATCAATGGATTCTGCCACCTTTATTCACAGAGTGATACTTTAATCTTTAGCTTCACACTTGAGATGGATTTTGATACCCTTAGTTGTGTGAAACAACACTTTGTTTCAGACCTAGCATGACTGATGTTAACAGGACTGCTTACTGAAAAACATGCTAAACTATTCAAACATAGCTCCTTGATTTCAGCAAGACTGTGTATTCGCTGCAGTATTGTACAGTAGGTCTCAAGATGGCAGACTCTTAAGAATTTTCTACAGTAGCAGTATTTCAATCCTTAGTCCCCAATACAAGTAAAAGGTGAAAGTATAAGACCAGAGTAAAAAGATTTAAAGTGAGAAAAAGCACTGTAAAGCCCCAAGTGAAAATAACAAAATGTGTACAAGAGACCAGTAGGAAGACATGGTCATATTTATGATTTACTGTTAAGTGCTAATTTCTGTGGCATATACTACTCTGCTTGCAAGAACTGGTACTCTTGAATGTATGTATCCCTTCAGTTCCCTATCACTGTGCTTTCACAAGAAACTATTGCATTACATTGCAGCTGCAAAACCCAGCTCACTTCTCTGACTGTTCAATAATTTTGATTTACTGGCTTCTGTCTTACTTGCTGGATTCAAGGCAAACTTTGGCTAAAAATATGTCTGCACTTGGGATGTCAAATTTCCCCCAAATGGGAAATCTTTAACAATTTTTCCAGCTGTCTTTCCACCTCTTTTAGTCTTCAGAACACTCCAGCATCTCTTACAGCACATTCTCTGTGAAATCACAGAGGCAATTCATGATTTTGGATCACAGCTGATCCACATAGCTTACAAACTAAGCCCCTGGCCGATCAATCAGATTCCTGTGGAAGGACCTTTGAACCAGGACAGATTCTGACTGAATTCAGTGGGGCTCTGTGCAGGCCAAAGGTCTATCCAGTTGTATTCTGCTAGTGATCAGTCAGAGTCTAATACTGTATCTATTTTATGCTATGTTAGTAATATGTATTACTATTAATATAATTTAATAAGGCACTTCTTTTAAAAAAAAAAGTCCTCAAATCCCTAGGTCATTAGAACATAGTAGGAGAGGGGGCCAGAAAGAAAGCTCTTCTCTAATAATTTGACATACCAGGAATATTGCTTACTGTTGTTTCTGTTGTAGTAGTCCTAAAGCAAAAACCTAGTGTCCTGCTTACTTAATACAATGGTATCTATTCATTTCAGGATGTTACATGTATAAAACATCTGATAATATGCATAAATGTGCTAAAATTTGTATCTATTTTGATTCTTTAAAAAAGTTCAGATATTTTGGACCCAGATTTGAGGTGATACATCTGATGTTATTAAGTAAGCTAAGGAATACTATAGGCACTGTTTGTGTGCCAGGTTATCACTGCAAACAATTGACTGCAAGCAAAATGGACACTAAGTTTCAGCTATAAGATTTACTCTTCAATAATTGATGGCTTCCACACCTGTGCAGTGACGCCAGCTTTCTTTGCTGAAAATTTTGGCCTCGGAGCAGTAAACAAGGAGGATGTGGTGGTTTCTGGCTTAGAAAATGCAGAGTAGCCTGTAGGTGAAAATGATTCATTTACTGGGATAGAGGCATTTGACTGGAACAAAGGTTGTGAACTGTAGGCTGGCACGGAGTACACTGAAGATGCCCGGACATTAGTAGGAGAGCCAGCACTTGGCGGTCTTATAGGTAGAGCTTGCTTTGAAGTGGACAACTTCGATGTCTGCTTAATAGCAAAGCTTTCCTTAGTACTAGGAGGTTGAAAAGTAAATAAAGATGCATCAAGTTGGTAAGGTTGATGTTTCATAATATCCAAAGCATTGAGACCTTTCTTAGGTTTTCTTTTTGTATTTTTGGTAGCAGCAGTGGACTTAGAGGAAGCCTTGGTAGCAGCAGGAGGATAAGATGGGCAGTGGATGGGATTATAAGCAACAGGTGGAGGTGCTCGGACATTAGATGAATATTTCCAAGAAGCTGGTAAAGATGGAGTCGGAGATGAGGCTCGTGCCATGTTTGCCTGCACAGTCTCTGAATCTACCACATACTTCTCCATTCGAGAGTGCCTTCTGGCAAATAACTGTGCTCCTTTTCCACTCATAGCTGGTGGCATCTCAAAGCGCGGCTTTGTTCCTCCAGCACTTGGTGTGACTGGTGTTGTCTTGGGTGTATGGTTTGGACTCGCTAGGGTTGCCTGAGGCCCTTTGAAAGGACCAGCTAGGTTGAGAGTACTTGGGGGATGGGCAGGAGAATGAGGATACTGTGGAGATTTGAGTGGTGCAGGATATGCTGCCTGAGGTGAGGCTGGTGCTGGGAAAGAAGGAGCCTTGTTAGAAGCCACAGCTGAGGGTGACCAAACTGGTGAAACTGGAGTATCAGCAGTAGGAGAGACCTTGAGTGAAGGCTTTGGAGCAACAGGAGGAGGGGCTTTTTGTTTAGATGCTTGAGTCTGCATGAAATTGCAAGCTTCTGCTCCCAAACTGAGGTAGTCTTCTTCAGGTCCTGACTCAAAACCAGCTCCAGTACCTTTTTTTCCCTCTGCATTGTGTACAAGGGACAACAGGGCAGGATTAGGACTTACTTTGGGTGTTTCTTTGAAAGTGAACATAGGTTTTGAAGTGCCTCTTCTCTTTGCCTCTTGCAGTATCCCAGTTCTTTTGGCTGGCACCGCAATCCTTTCGTCTCTGGATGCTATGTGTTCTGTTGGCTCGGTGGGTGACCACACAGTTGGGGCGGCTCTGCTGGCTACAGTAGCTGAAACAGGTCTGTATAAAGCCTCAGGTGGTGGGCTGATAGAGCAGTAAGGAGGTGGTGCTGGTATGTCTGAAAGAGGACTAGTGACATTTCTTGTGGGTGAAAATGGTGCAGCTGCTCGGTTTTGAACCCCAGAAGGGAAGGGTTTAGCAGTTTTATTCAAAGATGCTGCTTTTTGAGCTTCAGAGGACTGAAAAGGGAGGTTTGTGTCTGGTGCTAAGCCAAAGCCATTTTGTTGTACCATTTTGCTATGATTCTGGCTCATGTCTGTGTAGCTTTTGCTCACACAGGTCTGCTGTCTTGACATTTCTTCCTCTTTTGCTTGATAGACTGAAGAGCTTACTTTCTGGAAGCTCTCTGACATGGTGGCTTCCCTTCGTTCTTCTGTATGCACTGTGCGTGCCTTCATCTCCTCTTGCTCAGCTGTGATCTGATCCATCCTCTGCCGCCTCTTGGCAAACATGAGGGCCCCTTTACCTGTACTCTCTGGAAGCGTCTGCATCTCGTCTCCACTTTTTGTCTTCTTTTCAACCTCAAGTAGACCACTGTCCCAGTCAAACGTCACAATCTTACCGTCGTTGTCAATGTCAGAGAAGAAATCTTCATCTATTTCTGACTCACTTGTTGCAAGCAAACTCACTTCAAAAGTGTTTTCTTTGTCCCCCTCTTCACCTTCACCTTCTTCTCCCTCGTCTTCGTCACGTTCTAACTCCCCGGTACCGTAGCTGACTAGAGTATATTTCCTCGCCCTTTGACGACGCTTCTTGAACATCAACACCCCCTTGGAATTGGGATTGGGAGCTGCTGTCAGCAGCAATGCAATACTTTTACATTTAGATTTGGCTTCTTTGACCTGCTTCTCTGACAGACTTTCACTTCGCCGGAGCCCTATGGAAAGAATCAAAGTGCACGTTTAATTGCACGCAGCTCACAAAAATACAAGATGACTAATAACAAATAGTTCTGCATTTATCTATACTGAAATTTACCCACTTCCCCCTTCCCCTGTATTAAAACACTTATTTTCTTTTGTATAGAGAGATCATTATACTTAAGCTTTTCCCACAATGTCAACAGTGTTGTAAATTCCATACACCCATGCAAGTTCAAAGGCTACATCACTTTCTTTAGGACTTTCTTAGTTCAACAGAAACGTTACGTGTGTCCCTTTTTCTAGCATTCTTGATTTTTATTTCCATAAGTAATCTCAGCAGCAACAGGCAGACGATATTTTCTCATTTATTCAATTTCTATGATCTGGTATTTACCAAGTGTTTGACCACAGTTCCTAGGCTTACAGCAGACATTCCCAGCCAGCCAGGCCCATGACTGCATAACATCTGAGACGAAATGAAACTGAGTGTATTCTGTCTGACGACGGTAGCAGCTTCTGCCATTTATGTGTTTATTTTACTCATATGAATTACAAAATGTATATAATTGCTAAAAGTCAGTATGCTTCTATGTATTAGCTATTTAAAAGCAAGTATACATCCACAAAGTCATACACAGAAAATATTAGCATTAACTTCCAGCCCCTTGGAAGACGTGGGAGTTTGGCCATGGTGCTCAATGAAAGCAGGTTTCAGTCTTTTAACAAGCATTACTTGCCTGAAACATAATCCAAAATTGTATAGGATATAACAGCTCCAGAATGTTTATTTTGAAAATGTGGCAAGAATGAATACACATTTAAGAACTGAATCAAGGAGGCTCAACTAACTTCTCAAGAGTTTTTGCTAGCATTTATCAATAATACATATTTCTTAAAGCAAAAATTACCGGTGTTCATCAAGTAGTGGAACAGGAATAGATGCAACTGTAAAGCTGATAGATCCACTGTACATCAGCATGACTGCTTCCTTGTTATGTGACATGGAGCATGTGCCTCATGGGGCAACACCAGTCAGGTGGTGTCCCTGTTTCTTTCCCTTCCTTATATTCTACCTCTACATCTCACAAATGACAGCCTCAATAGCTTTTCCCTTTTAAATAGCTAGAATTTAAAGCTGTTCCTGCCTAAATTAATGGTCCCCTTCCACTTAATTTCAAAAGGAAAAAGTGTGCCTCTGATATATGAAAATGGAACAGTAAATTATTTAGTATCTTTTGCTAGCATAAATAAAGCAAACTCATTGAAGAAAGCCATGTGATGTATTTTCTATTAATGATCCTTTTAGCCATGTCAGTAGATGGCGTCTGATACTTCTCCTATTAAAGACAATTGGAGTTTTGCCATTATGCCAGATGACGGCATGACCGGACCAATGGTTCTCACAAGAACCTATAAAAGAGAAAAGAGCATGGCACCCAAACCAGCAATTTGTAATATTTTATTGTGAGAGGGCCAAATCACAAAATCCTTGGCCCAGTTCTTTGGCGATCCAAATGCTTACAATAGTCACTAAAAACATTTTCCAAAAGTATGGGCTGTAGAGTGCCTCTGCAAACAGAAAGATGTAAGTTCTATGCTTTCAAATAAGCTACTTGCATCAGCAGTGAGTGTTTTTCTGGGAAGGGGATTCAGCAGGTACCCATACAGTTCTGTGGAAAGCAAAAACTGAAACTTTTCATTTTGCTGGCATATGTTTTCTTAATTCATCTGGATAGTTACTTAATCAATAGTTCCAAAAGATGGCAGAAGAAATGTTAACTCTTCAGGTAAATATAATCTGATTACTATTTACAGAGAAAATTTCTGCTAAAGAGATCAAACCCCTATAATAAATGTTCTTCTCTAGTTTAGACTTAAATGCTGCATTATAGCTTTTAATTTTATAAAAAACATGCATAGTATTTGCTGCACACAGATTATTCCCCTATGCTTGGCAATTTGTTTGTTCTAATGTGTAGACAGGATTTTACATATAATAGTAATAATAATAAAAGCAAATTTTAATAGATTAAATCGGTGGTTCCTAAGGATAATGACCTGCCACTAGATTAGAAGGAACTGAGATTGTCATAGTTGAGATGGGAAAAGGACAGAATCTATGTCCTGCTTGAAAGAAGAGTTTATCATGTAGAATGTAGTTCATTCTTTGTACTTTTGTCTTATTAGACAGGCACTGCAAGTAATTCTCTAAGAAAGACAGGCACAGTTCCACAGTTGGTGCTAACTTCTCAGCCAAAATGTAAAGCATGTGCACTTTTCTTTTATGCTTCATTTAATATGCCAAAAATATGTGGATTGCATACAGACACTTAGGCATAAGTAACTGCTTAATCCACTTGCCAATAAGATACAAATGGTTATCATGCTAAAAATATGCTTACAGATGAATTAGCAGTGGGTTAGCAGACTAATTCCAACACTGCATATGAAATAGCTTGTTGCTACAGTATATCAGTGCACACATTCAAGCACCTTTGACATACTGCTACTAAATCCCCAGACAGGATTCTTAACATTGTTGGGAAAGAGCAAGCAACCAATAGAAAGGTCCCAAATGAATAAAATAATAAATAAATAAATAGTATGTATCTACACTCAGTTAATTAATATTGGATCCAGTTGCAAGTTTACTTTCATGTAAACTTCTTGGGCACATTTTGAAGCTGACCTCTGGGTATGGGAGTCAGAAGAAATAGCATGTTCACTTTACAGTCTGGAGAAGACTGACAAAACTGAAAGGATCATGTAACAGTTATACACATGCTAGTGTCTGTCAAAATCTCTTCTGCAGGCAACATCAAGCTTTTCTATTAGCCTTTTTAATTAACTTTTAAGAGCAGTGGCATGGCTTTGATTTTAGATAATGCAAATGACAACACAAAGTTTTTGCTATAAAAGGAGAAATCCACAGGATTTGCTTAGACATGTGCAAGCAGCTTGCTTTTTTTGTTAATATTCTACAGATTGCCTCTGAATATGCATTAGAAGACCAGCAGAATTCAGACCTTTTTGGAGATGTAAGTATTTTTAGTTGGACAAAGTCATGAGTTAAATTCAAAGTGGAAGTCTACTAAGCAAAGTTATTCAACACAGTTAAGGCATTGGTATACTTCTGGCTCATCACCAGGAGCATTGTATTACCCTGAAAAAATATATAAAGCAAGAACAGAAACATCATTTAAAAGAAAAAGAGAGAGGAAAATTTAGAAAACTGCAGAAAAAAACTCTAAACATTGTTTTTCTAATGCAGCCTAAATTCTGAAATTATGTTTAAAGTTAAAAAAGATACCCGCAGGCAGTGCAAATGATTAGATGGGACATACTTACTTGCGTGCCTCGCCCTGTGCTTGAGAGGTCTGTGATCCCTTTCCGAGTGCTGGTCGTCTTCTCCCTGCTCTGTGCCTTCTGATGAGATTGCAAAGGAGAGAAGGGAAGGAGGTGCTTCCGACTGCCCTCCTTCCACTTGAGAATCAACACACCCCCTGTCAGCTAGAGACCTGGGTGCTTCCTTCTCCCTGTCTGAACAGTCTAGGATCACCTCCACCCTGGGGAGAGATGGAGCTGCACCTTGGATCCTCTTGACCTCTTTGCCACTAGAAAACTGGACTACTTTGCTTGACCACTGGATGTTGCCCTCTTTCACTCCCAGGGGAATTGCAATTACAGGGCTAGTCCCAACTTCTTGTACACTGGGTGCTCTTCCTGAAGGAGTGCATTTTTCTGCCCCTAAGAGAGTCACAGCAGGAGGATTGGTGCCCTTGTGTGCATCATTTGAGAGGGACAACTGCAGCTCAACCATAGTACCTGGCCGCCTTTCTTCTGTCTTCCCTCTGAAAGCAGCTTCATCTGTCACGAGCACTTTGGAGGTGCCTATCACTTTAGGAGTAATTCTGTGGCTTTGTGTGGTCTCTTGTTTCATTTCAGAAAAGTGTTTGTTGCTTTCTCCTGCTCCCTGGTGAGTCTCACTGTATATCTCTGTGATGCATAAATCTCCATGGGGTATCTCTTTCGCTGTGTTAATTTGCAGTGTAGTACTCTGCCTATAGTCCTCATTTTTTATGTTATCATGTTTTCCATTTTCTCTTTCACTGCTCAAGGTTTCATTTATTCCATTGGAGGATCTGCACATACATAAACAAGTAATTCAAGAAATTAAGCTGCTGTAAACACAGCAATTGTAAGTACAGTTACAAAAGCAATTTCTGTATAGCATTTTTCCCCCTATATGAATTGTGGTACCTGCTAGCAGGTCCATTTAAGTAGAAAAATTTTCCTAGAATGTAAAGGTCTTAAACTGAAGCATTTTTGTATCTTTCAGAATTCTTCAACTTAACAGTTCAGTAACAGGGAAATTACACTACTGCGGTAGAACGATGATCCTACTACCATCCTTCTGCAATGTTGAATTATATCATCCCTACAATCAGTATGCTTTCACAGACACATTTCTGTTACAGTGTTTCTAAACAAATGCTGCTGAGACTTCTGGAACAATACTTCTTCATATTTTACATGTGCATGAGAAAATTAACTGTGCATGACATCAGAAGAGTGGTTAATTTTTGGCTCTGTGGCTACTACTACAACTGTTTTAGGCACCATCCTCACATATAGCTCTTGTCCCAAAAAGTTTACTGTCTAAGAAAGGGGTAAGTACTGGATGAGGATCAGATGGAGGGGAATGAATACTTGAAATACATTCAGAGAATTCCTGCGAGGAATATATCATGGAATAATTAAAACATTCTGGGCTTATTCCAGTGATGCAGTGAAAAAGGGTAGTAAACCCATACAATATTTCCTAGTTATTAAAAAATATATATTTCTAACTGGCAAATGTTACTTTGACTTCCTGAAGCCTACTATATACCTCAGTGTAGCTCCCTTTTTTAAACTGTTCATTCCTCTGGCCCAGTTAGGACTCCTAGTGTACTCTCTTGCTTCTTCTTTCAGTACTCTGGGCCATACTGACTATTATTAATTCAAGAAGAAACCTTTTCTGTACAGCAAGACTGCAGCATGTTATTAAGGCTTTCTGTTGACTAGAAGGTAGCAAAGCACTTTTTTCAAATGAGGGAAGCAGTAGGTACCCTCAGTAAAATATTTATATCAAGTATTATGGAGATTTCTGAAATCAAAAATGGGTCTCAGGTATTCTGAAACTTTGGAACCCCATACAAAGAAAGGCTGGAAGAAGCAACAGAGGAAATAAATCTGTCAGTGCACTGAAGAAGCATTAATATCACTTGGTTTTCTAGCCATGCAGCATACTGTTTGTAGCAGTCTGGGTCTGCCTCAAATAGCACAAGATGTGTAACATCCATTAAACCACATATGGAGCTACATAAAGGTCAGACAGATTTTAATTTAGGGAGCTCCTTGTGAGTGCCGCTGGATTCCATCATATTATGCTATTTGGATGATCAATTGTACTGCTCTTAAGTACAGATATATGACAGAAATCTGTAAACATTTCCTTGTAAGATATGAGACTGGGGGCTGGGCCAGCTAAATGTTAGCCTTTATTGGTAGCTGAGTGATTGTGTGTATGTGTGAGAGAAAGATTTCCACCTTAAAAAGGTGTTTACTACTTATGGATATACTTCTACTCTATATAGACATAAATGTGTATCCATGTGTCAGGAGGCATAATACTGGATCTGATCTCTATTTTGTCATTTAAGATTCTGCTTTGTCAAATTATTATTTTTGTTTTAGGTCTTTCCAGCTCACTGCAGGAGCAACACCCCTGGTGTAATTCCAGGAAGGAAGCAGAACTCATGGAGTCAGCACGGCAGGGTTTGTGTCAGAGTCATGTTTTACTCCCTACATGGTGCATTTAATTTTGGTATGCACTGAGCACACTCCCTGCTTCCCCCTAGAAATTTTCTTTCTAGACTCAGCAGTAGCCCAAGAATTGCTAATACTGATGTGAAAAGGGCAGGCTAGTGTTTCTGTTTCTGTCCCCATTCTCGATGTTTCCCTGATGCATCTGTTCAGCATTTGTCAGGAAGGTCAGCAAGATGCTCCCCCACATGGCATCTGGAGAGTGCCTGCCCTGCAGGGTGTTTCTTTCCTCTAATCCTGTAAACCAAAGGTTTTGTGGGCACTGCTGGTCAGTTACTGACTGTGGTTTACAGGGTACTGGGAGAACCTTTTGTAGACATCAAAGGCCAAGTAGCATTTTAAAAACTACTTTAAAAGCCTAATTTTCCTCCCAGTAAGCTTAGTAAGAGCAGAATTAGGCCAACAATGGTTGCCTATGAAAATCTCATCCTTCGTGCAAATAGTTTAGGAACAGTCAGAAGCTTCCCAAGGAGAAATATTCTTCCCTGCCAGCAAAAGATGCTTGGATGTAAAGATCACCATTGGAACACCACTTTAATTAGGCATTATTCTTTCCTCATGATTTTCAGCATTTTCTTGAGATGGCTGCTAACAAGTGGCTACTCAGGAAAGGAAGGGTTTGCTTCTCATTGCTTTCGGAGGATGCTAAGACACTTCCTGAAAAACCCTTCTGGTGGTAGTGCTGAGAGGGCTACTATCCACAAAGGAGGTAGCAGGGGAAGAGAAGTGTTTCAGTTTATTCTCCCATACCCTGGAGGATACTGACAGTAGGGGCTGGGAATTGGGGAAGATGAGCTGATGAGAAGAAATTCAAAGATTCTCATGGTGAATTCCTTTAGAACATTTTAGTTACTTTCAGAGTGTTGAGCAACTGCAATTTTCTTGAAATTTCTAACAGACACAGTTTCATTCCATGAAACACTGAATTATGTGGTCTAAGCACTCTGTTTTGGTTCCGATTTTCAGGATATGTCTTGCCGTTCACCATACATTCAAGCAGGGGCAATGGAGTGAATGGAAGATGTGCTGTCACTTTCAGCTAGTGTACTGTGGCCTTCAGACCAACTGAAATATCAGTTATAGAGCAGCAACAGGCAGGAGTCAACGCATATGGAGCTATTTCTATGGCTGCAAAGAAGACAGCTGGTCAGCCACAAATATCATCTTTACAAGTGCAGTTCCAGTAGTCATGTTATGAATTAAAAACATAAGAATGCAGCTATCACGTGAGGAGCACTCAAATGGTACACTGCTGAACCAGAAACAAGAGCTATGCACTGTGGAGAAGGTAAGCTGTAATCCTCACCTATCACTGTTCCCCTGATCTCATCACATTGATCCATTTCTTAGCCCAAGACAACATACACAGACAGGTCATGCAAAATGTCTGTTATAAATAAAATGAATACTCCTTGAGAGCAACTTGTTTTGAAGGTAGATTGTAACTTTGAACTACTAGACACTTTAGAAAAGTTCCTTTGCGCAGGTTGCAGAAACCACAGAGGAATTTCACATGCTGTTGAGACATCCCTGGTAACCAGAGACAAGTGCCTTTTTTGCACCAGAGTCCTTTCAGCCTTTCCAGTGACACTCCTCTGTTAGCTCTTGTGATGAATCCTGACCCCTTCTGTCCTCCCAGTCCTGCCTGGGGGAGAGCAAATCCAGGGAACAGCAGTAGCTTGTGGGGAGGAGCCATAATTCCTGACAAGGAGTGTGGAAGTCTCAGGTCTTTTCTTCCTCTTCTTACCCACACTGAAGGCAATTCAGAGTTCATCTTGTCTGAATTCACAAAGTCCGGGGAGAATGTGCTTACTGTAGGTGGTTCTGAACTCAAGATTGCATGCATTACACTGGTGAAAATTACAGAACAGTCATTAGAATTGGCTGATGTGCAGTGAGCAGTAATGCTGGCTTGCTTGCAAATTTACATGAAGGTTCTCTACTCTAAGAAGCTCGAAGCATTTTCAATGAAAGCTGAAATTCACTATCACTGTTTTATAAATGGAGAAGCTGAGACCCAGAGAGCTGTGACTTGCCCCACCTCATCTAGCGAAGTGCTAACAGCTACAGAAATAGAATTCATGATTTCCAGACCCTCTCCCCCTCCTGACATATTTTGCCCCCCCAAGAAGACCATTTGCCATGTCATCATCAAGGCATATCTGTCTAACACACTTTCTCTGTCTACAAAGCTTTTGCTTTTTGTAAGCCTCACTTCCATATCTGTGGGGAATAACAACACTTCACTACTTCAAAGGGGTGGAAAGAATAATTGAAGTCAAGACCCTGCAGTATGCAGATATGGTAGTGAACACCTTGTAAGCATTAAGAATACCTAATAAGAAATAAAATCGTTACATTTGGAGACTGTACTCTTAATTCTGTGCCTGAACTGTGCTGTTCAAATTATATACAATAATTCCTTCAGATCAAATAGTCTGTCTTTCCTCCCTTTTCCATACAGACAAGCAGAGTTACAGACATTAATAAGAGGACTATCAGAAGCTCACAGTATAAGTCTGCAAAATAAGTGCATTCAAAACCAGAATTTTCTATGTGGTTTACTGAACAGAATTGCACCAAAGCATTCTGAGCATTCCTGTACCTCTTGATAAGCATCTGCAGGACGTCAGTCAAGCTTTCCATCAGAACAATAACTTCAGCATACGTTAAGTCTCCACAAGGCTTGCCATTGATAGACACCACCTCATCTCCCTCACACAGTCCAGCCTTAGCTGCTTTGCTCTTGCTGCGAACCTGCAATGAGTCAAAAACAAATTCCAAATTGCACAATTAGTGTTCATTTGAAAATGGCAGCAACCATGTCTTCAACTTACTTTTGTCTGTACAAAAGAAAAAGGATCAGTAATATTGATCATAAACAAATTTCTAGTAACACAAATGAATAACTTGTCCCAGCTGAGGTTAATACTGTTCTGGCCAGTAATAACAAATACAAAAACTTCTGGTTTACTGAGCTTGTGAGCTAGATGTCAAACAGGCTGGAAATTTTTTTCAAAAAGGGAGACATAGAAGTTTGGGACAACAATCAATTGATCAGATATTAGCAGAAATGCAAAAAATCTCATTAGTTTCTCCCAAAATGAAAGACTACTAAAGCTGAATTCTATGCCAAGATTTTAAAAGAGTGTGTAACTTCAGGCTCCTCTGGGCAGAATGTCAATATCTACATGCTGTTAGAGCTGTAGGTATACAGACTGTTGGTATACTGGACACTTTTCCTTAGATGCCCAATGGTAAAGGTTTAGTTGCCAGACTATAAACATCTGAGTCACTGGAGATCCTAAATCCATGTTTAGTCATCTGAGTAAGTGCCCTGATTTATTAAAGTTAAGACACGCCTGTTATGGTTTAACCTTCCCTGTTAAGTACTCATTCAAAAATCTTATGCAGCTCAGTTTTTGCTGTTTCACTTCTTTTTCCACTGGCAGCGTGTTATAACTTATCACAGTCTTTGTATAACAAAACCTAGACAGCTTTAACACCACTCAAGGTATGCCATACAGTTGACTGCTATTTTTAAAGTACATATTTGGCAAACAGTATGTTATATTAACCAGAATGCTTGCAGGAGTCTATTTTAGAATGACACATACACATAAAAGGGCTGTCCTTGGGTTCTTTGCTCTCAGTCTTCTACCTGGTGGTGCAAGTCCTTTGGCCTTATACGATATTCAGTTGGTGGGTTGATACATTACCGTTACTATTTCTCGTAGCATTTTCTTGAAAATTTTTAAAGAAGTAGTGTGGTTCTACCACACTCACAGCAGCAGAGTCAGTCCCCACTGACTCTACGAAAGTTACTTCTGATTCACACCAGATTTGAGGGTGCAACTGTCCCACAGACTCATGGAATTGTCCCCAGTTATACTATTAGGCCACTGGGCTGGTACCTAAGATGCATTTCTGGAGGCAATTTTGAAAAGTTTCTTGGAGTCAGGATGATATGTGGAATAAAGAGTGAGACTGCATGTTTTTCAGTGGCACAGCCATATATCTTTGTTGTTTCAATTTATACATACGCATATGTCATATTATGGCTTTTTGAGCAGTGAAGAAACAGAAGCCTGGTGCATACAGAAGCCAGTTTCTACCTTGCAGAGTTAACATTTACAAATATGGAGTGGTATGCAGCTCTGTTTATCTCCCCTTAGGCAAGAGCATAAACATCCTTGTGCTTTGGGAAGAAATGACAGTTTAGACAGTGTTTAGAATGTTTTGCTTCATATATGAGCTAGGATTTAGGTTGAGGGTTTGTTATTGTTTTTTTAAATAGGAGCGTATGCTATTAAAATTTTACAAGACATCTTAGGCCTGAATGTAAATATTTAATGTAGACGCTAGCAAGAATTCAGAATGACCCTTTTTCAAAAAACATGTGAACAGCAATTATAGCAACATGTGAACTCTGAAATAGCATAATGTGATACCTAGATTGTGAGAAGACTTGTTTCTATTTCTTTATTAAGTGTCTGAGAATTTGGGGTCAGTTCTTTCATAGATTACCATTACAGCTGTCTCAGGAGAGAAACTGTTACCCATTCTGTAACTTCACTGATTTATGTCAAAAAGCAAAATTACCATGTTAATATGTCTACGTGAATTGGTAGACAGCTCAACCACTTTCATAATTTTTTAAACAGACTCCTTGGTAGCATTCAAAGAAAATAGACAAGGGCATTGAATTTTCCTTTTAAACTCCTTGAAAGGGCCTCTCAGTTCATTTTGCTGCCTTGTGAATTGTTGAAAGATCACAATTGTGAGATATTTGAACCTTCATACAAAAACTCAACCTCTTCTTTGGCTGGTCATGCAGGAAAGAAATTACTGGAAGTCGCTATGTTTCACTCTCTGGTAGCATTTCAGTTGATATGCACATTAGAGCAAATTTCCTGTTGGTATTGTATTTCCAGGTTTATCTACATAAATCAAACCTTTAACATGATTTTGCCATTGCAGGATCACACTGCACATGCTGTACATATTAATGGTTCTCCTGACTGTATGTCAGCCTTTTCCCCAGCCTCTCCCAGAGGCACCTGTGCCTCCCAAATTTGAACAATATTTATATAAAATCACTGCAATTTTATTCTTTTTGTGTGTGTGTTTCTGTTGGGGAAATAAAAGGGAGGAGAGAGCACTGACAAAAAATGAGCAAGGGCAGGTTGTATAGTAAATTCTAGCAGGTTGCTGCTAGGGTAGAAAATCCTAAGAAGATTTGTGGAAAGCAGGATCTTCCTAGTAAAGTATGTGTTTAGTGGACAGTTTTCCCTCAAAGGAAGTTTTGGCAGAAAGCCTTTGATGAGCCCACTGGGAAACAAAAGCTGCCTTTGTTAGCAGAAATACAACTTGGTCACACAGGGGACAGTACGAAACCTTCATCCAGTTCTTGGGAACTTAAGGCAAGGCATATTTGGTTGTAAAGCAGAAGAGATTCTTCCAAAACTAGTGATTGCTGTAGCCTTATAGTGCAGCCAAGGTTTCCTCAGTTACTTGTTTCTCCTATCTGCTTTGGGCTGGAGTTTTCTTTGGGAAGGAAAAGTGTTTTTTCCCATAAAATTTGGGAATGGGATCTCACTACTAGAAGAATATGCTTGTAAAGATTTTCTTAGTTTTTCAGTGCTTGCAATACTGGTATAACACAGCGAAGCTGAGTCTGTACCATTAGTGCTGAACCTGTCAAGATACCAGCTGCTCCTGGGGCATTTTGAAGGGCTTTAGCCCACTTTCCCCTGGTGCTGCCTGTATTGCTTTTCTGCTCCCCCTCAGTCAGGATTTTTCCTTTTTATTATTCAAGTTATATATCATGCGCTCGTTAGAATGCTTTGGTTTTCTTCCAATTACAAAATGAAATGGCAATGGAAATATTTACTTTGAATTCCAAAAGTTTTAAGGAAATCATCGCACAAGGTGTATTGGCATTGCAGCGGTACTGACCTTAGTCAATGCTGTGCATGCTCTGCCCATAGGGAGTTTTAGATTTCTGAATTTTAACAGTATTAAAGTGTTGTATATAAATAGCTGTACACAAAGACTTCAGGTTATTCTGAGCCATTTGTTATAATATTCTCTAATTTCAGGTGTTTAGATTGCTGTGGCTGGAGGGTGTGAAACACAGTGCTTGATTATTTGGACAATTTACCTGAAGTACATAATTTCTTTTCGTTCCCAGATTACTCCTGTATCCAGAATCTCCCACTATCAGAAGCACCCCTTGCTGCTTAAAACATCAAGTGCTGAGCAATTCCTCATATCCACAGAGACATTAATCTTAGGGGAAACTTCCTTTGTGAAGAAGTTAGCCTGGATGCTCGCTGTTATCTGAGCACCACGGAGGAGCCAGGACCCTCTGTGAGCAGCGCAGCATGAACCTGCACAAGCAGCAGTAGCCCTCGTCCCTAAGACAGAAGGCCACAGGGGCTGGTGGAAGGCTCCTCAGCCCCTCACCTGGCACCTATTTACAATCAGCTGCTGTAACGAGGGAGTGGGGGCTGTCCAGAGGCTCCTCAGGAGGGTCTATAAAGACTTGGGCTGGAGACTGTGAGGCAGTAAGGTCTGGGTGCTGTGATGTGCTGGTGAGAGATCACATTCCCAAAGGCACAGGTATGTGGGGGGAAAAGTATGGGATAGTAACTTGCTGTGGGTTGGTGGTAGCTGTGGGATGCTCCTGGGGTTGGAGTAGTCATAGGTGCCTGCAGCACATGGCAATTTCAGTCAGTTTCTTAACTGGTGGAAGGTGAATAAACTGAGGGATACGTGGTGGCTGTGCTCATGCTAGTTTGGGGCAAAGGAGGGGTTTTGTAGACAAAGCTAATGCTGAGTCCCAAGCCTTCATGCTGTGTATGCTGTAGTGTTTTTGCTTTAAACTAGCTCTAGTCTCATTCTGTCACCTGGAGACTCCTTGCCAGGTAGCAGGTCTGTTCCTTTGATTTGCCCTCTAACAGGTCTGTTAGATTTGTTCCTTTGATTTAATCTGAAAGCAGTTTAGTTTGTACAACCCAAAACTGTTCCATACTATGAAACAACGTATGGTAAATCAGGATAATAGGGAATCTTGCCTCAGAAAATGTAATCCTGATGATGCTAAAAAGCTAAAGTAGATGCACCTGTTACTTGTTGTGGCTGCACCTGGAGGCACAGACGGCAACTGGGGCTCAGCTTACCAGCTGATGATCTTGGTTGTGTGTCTGGGCCCTATAATAAGCAGATCAGAGAGTTGAGGTATGTTGAACCTGATAACAGGGTCAATGAGTTGTAGTTTAAAGCAAGGCAAATGGACTTGAGGACACTACAGTCCTGGTTCTCCAACTGTGCAACTAAGAAATTATTAGGATATTTCATAGCTTTTTACCAGTAACTTTTAGGAAGGATGACATATATCTTATTCTGGTGTGCTGCTAGGAGTACACACCTGTATCTGGGACGTGTCTAAGTGGTGTGCTTCAGATGTAGCCTGACTGAGCAATCAGACTCAATGATTGCTCAGCCTGACTGAGCAACCAATCTGAGAAAATGAGTCATCTGAGCACAAGTGCAATCCATTTAGCCTAAGTCCTTATCTATTAAAGTAAGACTTTTTTGTGGCTTTAAAAAAATATATATACATATATGTATACTTGCACAGCAATATTCTTAATGCAAAGCAAGCTTTCCAAACCATGAGTTATTCTCAGAACTATTTACTGATCCTTTTTCAGTTTGCCAGCAGCTTTTAGACAACAGAACAGAAAATATTG